CTCCATGAAAATTTGCTGTTAAAACGACCTACAATGGTCCACCGCACACAAAATGCTTCCGACTAAGTGTTGACTGTTGAGAAGGTAAAAAGATACTCCTGCAAAGTAGCATATTACTGTGAATAGCCCAAACCTGGGTAGAAACCAACAAAAAGGAAATGGCAGATGATCCTAATCCACCACATCCCTGTAAAATCCATGTACTTGCTCTATTATAGAAGTGACTTACATCAAATTATCAACTGATCTGAAAACAAGCTGACTTTTCTACAACCTATATTTGTACATGGACAACGGACAACAGGATGGTAAACCTTATGGTAATGCTACCGATTATTTACATATACTACAATGTATGCCACCTGGTTTCCAGTAAGGCTGCAATGATGAGCACATGACAGCAATCATTATTTCCGTGACCTAAGATCGTTCTCGAGTTTCTTCATCCTTGTTTCTTGGGCTTTGAGATCCCGTTCGAGTTTATTTATCTTTGATTCTTGTTCCTTTGTAATCAGAGTGAGGGCCTTGACATCTAAAGCCCCAGCGAGTTCGTTCAATGATTGCACCTGTAATAAGGTTGACAAAAGAATTAATCCAGGTTTGTTTTCTGGAATGGTTTATGAACGATACACATGTCCCATTCAAAATTAACCACCACTTCTATTCAGAATCAAATAATAATCAGAACTATAAGTAGGATTCAACAATTACAACTTGGTGCAGAAAATATTACCCTCTATGTAATGTAGTAGTAGATAACAGTGAAACAGAAAAGTATAGCAGGTTTATTTTGGATAGTGCGTTTATTTTAGACAGTGAATGTATTATATAATATACAAGTATAAACTAGTTGGTCACTTTAAGACAAAACCGAGGGGGGCGCGAATGCAAGCAGTTGGGGGCGCGAATGCAAGTATAAACTGGAGCAGAGTGTGCCGCCCCATCAAGCCCGGGGGCCTTGGCGTGCGAGACCTTGAGCGGGCCGGCCTCGCCCTGAGACTACGCTGGCTATGGTTTTCCAGAACGGACCCGGAGCGAGCTTGGCAAGGGCTCGACCTCCAATTTTCGCCCACGGAACGTGCCCTGTTCTGGGCATCCACGTTCACGATCCTTGGGAATGGGCTGTCCGCCCTGCTCTGGGAGGACCGATGGATTGGCGGCCGATCCGTGCGCGAGCTCATGCCCAACTTATACGGCTGCATACCCAAGCGACGACGAACGACGAGAACTGTGGCGGATGGGCTCAATGGCAACTCCTGGGCACGCGACATACAAGGAAACCTAGGTCTCCACGAGATTGGCCAGTATCTGCAACTTTGGCAGATCATGCAGCGCACCGAGCTTTCCACCATACCGGACAAGTTGATTTGGCGCTGGACAGCGAGCGGCAACTACTCTGCGCAGTCCTGCTACACGGCGACCTTCCATGGAGCAACGGCCTGCCACTCATGGAAGCTGATTTGGAAATGCTGGGCGCCACCGCGAGTCAAGTTCTTCCACTGGTTGGCCAACCAGGACCGATGCTGGACGGCTGAGAGGCTGGCTCGCCATGGCCTCCAGCATCACCCCCGCTGCCTCCTTTGTGACCAGCAACAGGAAACGATGCGACACCTCATGCTGGAATGCCCTCTCGCCCGTCAGGCATGGCACGAGACACTGGCCTGGCTTCGCATCCCGGCCCCGATCCCCTCGCAGGAACCATCGCTTACGGACTGGTGGAGACAGGCCAACGAAGACACGCCGCCGACACTGCGCAAGGCCCTGAAATCTGTCGCATTGCTTGTGCCTTGGATGGTCTGGAAGCACCGAAACAGCTGCGTCTTTGATAATGCGGCGCCTTCCCTCAACACACTACTAGATAGCATTAGGGACGAGGCCCGCTCATGGGCGGCAGCAGGGGCACCTGGTCTCCGACTTGTGCTGCCCCAAACCTGGGATGTGCACTAATTAACCGGCTGTAACCTGCACATCCTCGGATGATTGTAACTGAACCCCTCCTTTTCAATGCAAAGAAACTCAAAGCTTTTGCGTTTTCTCGAAAAAAAAACATTGGATATTATGGTGCAAGGGCTCTGCAATCAGGCCACTTGTGATCTTGCTTTCTCTCTGGGGTCTTAATGAAATTAGTTGCAGTTCGAATTTAGCAGCAGTTGGGTGCTCCAACTCTCTAAGAAACTGAACCAAACTTGGGTGGAGCTCATGAAATAGTGAATTTCGTAGAAGTTACCTCTAACGCCTCGGCAAAACCCACCGGTTCCTGGCCGTTGCGCCTGGGATCTAGACTGGCCCCACAGACCAACACTAGTCTTTATTGCGCACTTTGTCCTCACTCGTGCGCACCTGGGATCAACTTCCCAGTCGGTCACCCATTATCAAATTGCTCCAAGCCAAGCACACTTAACTTTGAGGTTCCTTCCGGATGGGCTCCCGGAAAAGAAGGTGCACCTTGGTGATATGAGTAGTTTATCATTCCTATTAAGCCGGGATGTCACATACCCCAATTTGATAATCTCGTCTAAGCTACTCCAGAGTGTGGTACTTGAGCAGGGGCATAGAATTGAATTATAATAAATCATGTGTACTCTTTCACCAGTTCAAAGCTATTGAGCTGAATTATCTTCAGCTGAGTTTGCACCTTAGATATCAGGGCAAAAAAGGGCAGCCCCAGTGCATGTAGCTCCCGCTTGCGCAGGGTCTGGGGAAGGGTCCGACCACTTTGGGTCTATTGTACGCAGCCTTTCCCTACATTTCTGTAAGAGGCTGTTTCCAGGACTTGAACCCGTGACCTCATGGTCACAAGGCAGCAGCTTTACCACTGCACCTTAGATATCAGATCGGAAAAAAATAGCAAGCCGAATTGAGAAATGACTTCGCGTTATATCTTGAAACTACTAATGATCACCTCCATTCAAACAACGCTTGGAAGGGCCAATAACAGATTCTATCATTCTAATAAGTACTCACCTTCTCAAGGAGTTGCAGCCGTTGATCCATATCATTAACACAATCACCCTGTCTTGTAATCACCTTGACGACATACATCAAATGGGTTTGTAGAAACCGCGAACAATGGTTATCAAGATTACACTGTGGAAAGGCTGTTTCACAGCCAATTCTAAAAAACGGGCAGTTGGTAAGCTTCATAGGGCAAACTGTTCCACAATGTTTGTCCATCTCAGACCGCATAACATGTTGTTCACACAGCTGCTCGCATGGTAGGAGCTTGAATGGGCAGACAGTGTCATGCTTTTCGATATGAATAGCACAGAAAGAAGCTACACATCCATCATATGTGCAATTCAGTATCCTAAATTTGCATTGACTTGTGTGCTCAGCTAGCTTATCTGGCATGTCAAACCTCTCGGGGCAATGGAAAATGCCTTTACTGTCTATGTTCTCCAGAATAGCCCATGCAGTCGCCTTCCTTTCATCCTGGGCCCATGAGTTATCCGTCTCTAACTTTTGCATGAAGTCTTTAATTTTGTTCAGGCGGCTTTCGCTAGAAAAAAGCCCAGAGACATGGCTCAGCATGCCCCTTTTTGAGGTCACAAACTCATCGATCAAGTCTGACAGGAACTCCGTCGGCCTGGAGGATGCTTTTGTTAATTTATCTGAATGATCCTCGCCTCCATCCATAGATTCGCGAACAAGTGTTTCAGATCTCTGAATCATGTACCCTGATAGTTCGGACTTCATGCCAATAGCTACAGATGCTGGGCTCTTGAACATATCACCAGTGGTGCTGTCCACTGAAGCTGTGGCCAATGCATGAAGTAAGAGCTGTGTCATGCTATGTACGACCTCTATGTCAGATAGATTGCACTGAAAATTTAAGCCTTTGTCCTCTGACGTGTTCTCAAGGTTGTCCATTGGAACTCTGAATCAGTACAACGGCATCCTGAAAGAAAGAAAAAGGTGAGATGAATGAACAAAGAGTTAGGCTCTCATATTGTGAAGTGATCTATTAGGTGTATTCTGTAGCTTTGAATTTCACAAAAAAGTTGACCCTAATGCAATCTAAGATCCTAAAATCAACACGATCCACTATGGCGGATTCAATTATCTTTGAAGGAGTGCAGCACAGAACCTATGAAGTCATTTTTGTATTTGAACGATTTAACATCGATTAGCTTATTTCCAGCTAACTATATTGCAACAACAGAATGTTTTTCTTGGGAGTGGCTAGGTCTCATCTAAATGAGAGTTAACTGAAGTCTCATCTAACTCCCACACCGTTTTATTTTATGCTGAGATTTGAGTATAGGTGTGAATCCTTTTTTTTTAACGAAATTCCAACTACAGTACTACGGCACAACCAAACCAAATGGACAAACTGTTAGAGTCAATGATCATCACTCAATCAGCAACTGAGTTAATATCCTGCAAAGTAGATGAAATAATGTGGCATTCGACGGTCTTAACACTACATTAGCCGACGGGTTAGTCGCCATCAACGCCCACAGAAGCCTCCGTGACAACGAACTAACCTCGTGTGGAGGCGCCGACGAGGATGATCCACCGGAAATCAGAGGCAAAAGTCCACGAGCCGCCGGACAGGGAGGGCTGGCCGTCGATGGCGATAGGGAAACGACCGGCAGGAAGATTGCAGCGATTCGATGGAGCGCTAAGACCACCTGAGTGAGTGAGCGGAGAGCCGGCGGCGGCAGCGCCGGGGAGCAGGAACCGGAAGCAATTGGGGACTCGGGGCTCTGTCCCGTGAGCCCGTGACGACGCTCCGTTGGGTACGACCACCCCATTCCCGTTGGGCTATGGTGCAGGGCCGCGGGCCGCGGGCCGCGCCTATTTGGACCGTGTGGACAATCTGTCAACCGGATGGTGCCCACCGTTGGTCCTTTTTCCGGCGGCATCCAGGACCTTCCAGAACCCCAGGTTCCAGCTTCCTTGTCCTCCTCCTCGCCATCACGCCACCGAAACAGCCTCCTCCCCCTTCTCCAGGAACCAAAAACCCTAGCTAAGGGAGGGTCCCACCGCGCGGCGCCATGGACGCCATCCGGAAGCAGCTCGACCAGCTCATGGGCGCCAACCGCAATGGCGACGTCCGGGAGGTCAGCCGCAAGTACTACGACCGCGACGTCTGCCGCCTCTTCCTCGCCGGCCTATGCCCCCACGACCTCTTCCAGCTCACCGTGCGTTTCCTCTTCTGCTGGCACACTGCTGCTGTAATTTCGATCGGGGGGGTAGGCTCGGTCCGGCTCGCTGATATGTTTTTGTTTTGTTGGTGTTTTGCAGAAGATGGACATGGGTCCGTGCCCTAAGCTGCATTCCTTGCAGCTCCGCAAGGAGTATCCTACCACTCGAGTTCCATCTCGATTTTGTGCGTGTAATTTTGGGGCAATATGGACGGATTTGTGGAGATGACCACATTGGTTCAGTTTATTTCCCCTTCTCATAGTGCGGTTTGAATCGAAGAAGTTTTGAGTGCTCGTGTGAGGTGAGGGTAGAATAGGTTGGAGGGACTTTTGATTGTCCGGACTACCTGCCCTTTTTATTTATACTGGGCTTGGATGATTTTATGGAGTCATGGATCATGCAGTTTGAACGACACAACTTAGCTACATCTTGCTTGTCAAGATTATGACCTACATATTGATTAAAATGAACCTTTGAATGAAATTTATTCAAATGTTGATGTGCTGCTAAGAACAATGTGTGTTAAGCTTTAGGTTTGCAAAAGCAGGGCGTGCGTTGTTTCGTTGTATGAGATTTGAGATTGCGCCTCCTGTTGATCGACAATTCGAATATAAATTATAGTATTGTTATGGTGCAAGTTCAGAGGCAAAAGACAACAATGAACTGTGAAGCATTAGGTTTGTGATATAGCGGGCTTCCCCTCTGAATCCAACCATGATATTTGATAATGTTCTAATCATGTTAGTGCTGCAACCTTTCCTAATCAACCAAATCTAGGTGCCTTCTCTTATTAGGTCACCTTTAATGCCATGGTGAGAAAATGAGGTTTGAATGCTTTATCTTTTTGTTGTTTTAAACGCTTTACTCGTGCATCATTGCAGTCTTTAGTTAACAAGGAATTCCTGAGGAATTAGTGATAGTTGTTTAGTTGTACGCTGTTGTTCTGATAAGTAACAGTGAAGCACATACACGTTTCGTTTGGTTACATTCCCATGCATATCTCTATGGTAGCATGTTTGCAGTTGGGTACGAAGGATCTGTTCTGTTGCTTCCTGAACTAAGTAATAGATACGAGGAGGCCAAAGCCAAAGGTATGGACAACTATGATCGTGAATTGGAAGAAACTATAGAAAGACTGATAGTTGAGTGCGAGAGAAAGATTCAAAGAGCCCTTAAGCGTTTGGAGGAGGAAGACGCCAAGGCAGCTATTGCAATTTCTATCACTGAGGTTACACAGGTACCCCATGTTAATTACTCTTCTGATCCCATTAATACCATGTTTGATTATTTCATTGTGGAAACTGAATGGTGAAAGGTAATGTTTACTTGCAAATCCAGAGTAAAGAGGTACTCGAGTTCTCCAAACAAATTAAGGAGAAGATGAAGGAGATAGACACTTTTGGTAAGTCCTTTTTGTTTCTCCCACAACTATATTGTTGTTCAATATTTTTCTTTGTTACTTACTATATTCTTTTATTTATGCCCAACTGTTCTGTGCTCAGTTTCCTCTGGAATACCATTCTTCCAGTTATTTGTCTTTGTGAAACCTCTGAAAATTCTTCTACTATGAAATTACTTCCTCTGTTCGAGTTTATTAGTCCCTCTCGTATTTTGTGTTAAATTTGGACCATAGATTTAATTAGCAAAATACTCCCTCCGTAAACAAATATAAGAGCGTTTAGATCACTAAAATAGTGATCTAAACGCTCTTATATTTGCTTACAGAGGGAGTATAAGTTACTTGCCACAAAAATAGTATCATTAAAAATTTCTTTTGAATATGAATCTCACATTATAATTTTTGTGGCATATAACTTAAAGTATATGTGTTTGCAACTTAGCATTTGATTCTTTGCGCTTGTTGCTCCTGTAGACTTTGATGGAAACACTGAGGGCAAAATTCGGGCTACTGAAGAGGTTGATAAACTCAAGGAACAGAGAGCTGAAGAGCAGGTACTTCTGGGGCCGCTATCAAATTTTACCACACTGGAGTTGTCTGAACTTAAGTATATAGCTGAATTTATTTCCACCATGTGCCTTCCGTAACGATTTTATTCTCATTTGAAGGCAAAGCTGCTCCTTGAAGCCTTTAATAAGGACCGTGTTTTGCTAGTGAATTCTCTCCAAACTGCTACGCAATCAACAGCACCTGCTGCTCCAGATGCTCGTACACAAGAAATGATTAATGAAAAGCTCAAAAAAGCAGAGGAACTAGGTGTGTTTCATTAACCGTACTACTAGGGCACAAATCATTGTTTATCTGGTGTTGTATTAATGCATAATAATGTACAAACAACATTTGTTCTGAACAGGTGAGAGTGGGATGATTGATGAAGCACAAAAACTGTTGGATGAAGCAGAAGCTCTGAAGAAGGTTAATATCTATCTTTAGCATTTAAATCTATTGTAGCAGCTGACTACTCCCTCCGTCCCATAATGTAAGATGTTTTTTGACACTAGTCTAGTGTCAAAACGTCTTACATTATGGGGCGGAGGGAGTAGATGTTACGGTAGCTCTCGTCTGCTTTAGTTGCCAAAGTACCATTCCTCTTTCTGATGTATTTTGTTTTGATCTCTAACCAGCTGGGTGCGCGGCCACAGCCTGTTCCTGACTCTGCAAAAATATCCACTCACGTTCAAATTGTAAGTAACTCAGATTTTCCTTGTGCAATCCACAACAAAAATTCAATCCTTTTGCTAACTGCATGGAGACCTACTTATTGGATTCGCTATGTGGTAGGACTACTCTTGTCATGAAGTTTCAGGCAGAAAAGTTGTATAGCAATAATAACATATTTAGTTTGTCTCCATTTATTTATATATTGATTTTGTGCATTTGTAATCTTTTGTTCAGACTGATCAAAAGTTGCGCCTGTGTGACATATGTGGAGCATTCTTGAGCGTGTATGACAGGTAAATTAATTTCCTTTGGCTTAACCAGGAATTTCCACCTTGGGGTCATGAGTATAGTGGTGTATGGGGTTTCAAGTGCTTCAGCTTTTGACAGACGCCTGTGCCTCCTTTTTCACCAGCAGGCTTTTGGGTCCAGTTTTACGAGGATTACTTTTGCAGCTAAAGAATGTGCGTGTTTATTTATTCATGTTTTTATCCTTGTGGATCATAGATGTCTTGTCAAGGGTTTAATGTAACTTGCAAACTTGTTAAGAACTTGTTGTTTATAGCTATGCTCTTGGCTAAATTTTTTTCTTCCAAACAGTGACCGGCGTTTAGCAGATCATTTCGGAGGGAAACTCCATATGGGTTATATGCTAATACGGGAGAAGTTGTCTGAACTGCAGGTTAGTTTTCAGAATAATCTTTTGATTGAAGCGTAGTCCTGCAGAGTTACATGTTAGTACCAGATTTTGCTAACATGGCTGGCTTATTGTCTTCCTTTGTTAGTACCTGAATTGTTCTGTACTTGTTTATTTGGGATTATATAAGACTGGTGTTGCTTCTGGCTTTTTTGTGTGTACAGGAAGAGAAAAACAAAAGGCACAAGGTGGACCGAACTGAACATGACAGAAGGTACTCTTAGGCTTCCTAGCTTTAAAGTCTCCTAACAGAGCAGCAATTTTTGTTAATTATTGTGCTAAAAGCTGCCTTGTACAAACAACTAGATCCAAGGAAAGGAGCACAGAATGTGATAGAGCATCAAGCAGGGACCGTCATAGAGGAGATCGAAGCAGCAGTCGTGACAGGCACAGGGATTATGACCGTAGAAGTAGCCATGATCGCTACCATGACAGAGAAAGTAGATATGGCCATGATAAAGAATCAGGGAGATCTCGTAGCTATGATTCGAGGAGCCGCCGAAGGTCACGTTCCCCAAGGGATAGTTCTAGGGACTATGACCGACACGGGTATGCTTACATCTATTCTAGTTACCGCATAATGTTTGAATTGTGCATATTCCTTCCTCTGTTGCTATCTCTTGCTATTATTACTAGACAAAAACAAGTCAACTGTAACCCCACCAGGTTATGTGTGAATGAAACTTGAAATTACTTGCAAGATATAAATCTTCAGCTCACTTGGTGCATATAAACTTGTAGATCAGATTCCTATATACAGTTCATTATTATATACTCCCTCTGTAAAGAAATATAAGATCGTTTAGGTCACTACAGAGGGAGTAGTTCATTTTATTCTTATTGTGTAATATGACTTAATTATAGCAATAGCGTGTGACATAGTGCAGCACTCATGAAATGCAACTGACTTATTTTGGTGTCTCTGCAGGCGTCGTGACCGTTGAGATGGGCACTAGATGCAGGCAGGCTTACATTAGATTTTCTGAGGGTCCTGCCTAGGATGACAAGAATGGCCGGCTTGCAACTGGAGGAAGGCACATGTTTCTATTAGTATATGTACATATATGTGCATCTTCCTTTACCCCATAACTCATGAACGTGATATGTTAAACCATTTATCTGTTATGGCTTTAACCAGTTGTCAACCTTATGTACTTCATTGTATCCCTTGCCAAGACGTCCCTGTTGATTTCTCAAGTTATTCTTTGTCTTGAATTGAGAGGGGGGAAATTGACCCTGAAACCGTAGAACAATAGTTCTACAATAAATTTTCATTAAATAAAATTTATATACATATTAGTAACAGAAAAAAAAGGAAGTAGTGTAACAACATTCAACCAATGCCCTTTTTTGGAAACATGATGTGCTTTAGAAGAGGTGGTCAGTCCAGAACTTGATGATTGCTGCTTTGGATGGCTTTGATTTTTCTCTTCCACAGAAACATCTCCTTAGGTAGTATATACATCCTTGAAAGTGGGGTACTGCCTGCCTGAAGATTTTGTAATTTCTGATGATGGATCAAATACCCCAGCATCCCATTATCACAAATTCACAATATCCAGGGCAATATCTCTTGCGAGGACCTGCATGGCTAGGCCGATCGCATCAAAGCAAGAAGTACCTCTATTTTTGGTGGGCATGATATATATTTCCTAGCACCTGAGGGCAAACGGGTAGTGCTAGAATAAGTGCATTGAAGTTTCTTCCACCTTGTCATCATAAAGAACACAGTTGTATCTCAAGGTACTGATTTTCTGTTCAATAGGTTCTTGTCGTTTTGATGCCCAGACTCATCTGCACCCGCCCAGGAAAAAAAACACAAAAAATTCCAATCTTTTTTTGCATGGTAGACAATTTATCACGTGAGGTCCGCTCAAAATTTTAGAGCATTTGGAGTTCTGAGCAGCTCTTAGCAAAAAAGACAAATCGAGTCAAAACAATGCATAAACAGTAAACATTTTTACAGACCCCGAGTTTGTCTTTTTTGTCGAGAGCTATTCAGATATCCAAATGATTTGAAAATTGGAACGAACCTCACGCATCAAATTGTCTATCACACAAAAAAAAATGAATTTTTTTGAATTTCTCTAATTTTGTTTTGATTTTTTTCGTCAGGGCGGGTGCAGGTGAGCCTAGGCTCAGAAGTGGATTACTGCCTTCTTCCCCCAAAGTGTTTGTCTGCGATTACCATTGTAATATCCTCGATTTTTCAAACCAGGTCTAGCCAAGGACTTAGCAGCAGCATGATAGATGGCATTTGTGATGATGCAGCAGAACAGCTATGGAGGTGTACGAGCGCGCATTCCATCGGCATCCTTGTGGACCTTGCCGAGGCGCATCACTGGATTCATGCCTCAGCCGCCGCCCGCCGACAAGGCTAGACATGCGCTTTATAACCTTCACCCTGAAACAAACAACATCTTCCTGTCCTCCAATGGCGCAACATATTTCTCCAACTAGAACAACTCCAGGTTTCTCCCTTCGCAGGGGCCGTGTCCTGCAGATTTGGGAACAACGATGCAGGACAAAGGATCAATACTTGTTCATCTTTTCCCCTTGGGATCAATCCAAAGAGGCAATACATAGGAACCTCTTTTCACCAACCTCCCCCGACCCCCGTTTCCCTCCCAGAGCCGACATGGTTCTATGGCTTAAATCAACTTTTTTTTTCCTACTGAAGCATGCTTATTCTCATGTAACATTACATTTGGCAAATCAGAATCAAGGTCCCTGAATCGTTATAGTGAAAACATAAATGAAACGAGTGAGTTTTTAGATGAGCGCATGTTCAAATCTGCCAAATACTTACGAGTGCATCACAGAAGGAAGGGCAAGTTCAAAGATTCACAAAAGGTGGTATTGAAACGGCACAAATAACTTCACATACATGATGTCTTAATAATACTGGGAATATATGATCTGAAACATTACACTCATATTTAGGTAGAGAAAATGCAAAGTATTTGGGTAAATTACAGAACTTGTAGCCTTTGGGCAACACAAATATTGAAGGGTTTATTTATTAATATTAGTGCACTCCAAGATGCTACAGGCAATCTTCTTCCTGGAAAACTTCACAAATATCGAAGGCCTTGAGCTCGAAGCTTTATTAAGAGTGCAATCCAAGAGGCCGCTGTCAATCTTGTTCCTGCAAAAAATTCCGATTTAAGAAGTTAGAAATCGTGTGAAAATTGACCATGCAAACTTTTAACAGTATTATGTTGTGCACTTAAATTTTTTGGTTTAATAGCACACAACTTGCATCTACAAGGGCTTTCAGTTCTCCAGTCCTAGTATTATCGATGGAACTAATGAAAGTGCTTCGGTAAACTTGCCCTGAATCTAGCACTCCAGTTGGCCAATTCCTCCTGCTTGTTGTCCCTCAGGTTGCAACTAAAATAGCCCCTCTCCTGCCAAAAGGAAGGTTGTTATGATGATCCTATGTGATTAACACATGCCATAGGTTAATGCACTTCTTTATGCACACAAATCTACTCGCGGACACAGCGGAGAGCACTGAAAAGAACAACAACGCTGCCTGTCCGATGGCCTGCACTTATTTACTACTCCCTCCGTACCAAAATGTATATCTTAACAATATGTACTGGGCTGACATGCAAAAATACGTGTCTTCTAAATTTAGGCCCGTCAAACATATCAATGTAGAAAGAATACTGATAACACCAAACTGATACTGATAGATCTCATGAGATACGGTTTCACAATGTATTAATAGTTTCTATTTAAATCAGCACATTTCAGAAAGAAAAAAAAATCAATGGCCAATATATCACGAGATACAAGTATTTGGAGACGAACTAGTCACAAACTCGCAGATTAGCGTAGGCAGGATTCCCGGTAGAAAAAAAATGCAGAAACAAGTCACCAAGTCCCTATCTGTAATGCACCTGCAGATCGTTGTCGCAATGCACCTGCTAGGTCATTAGCCTCTTAACTCGGTCAATGCAACTGCAAAATGCAAGGAATTAAATATATTATTATGTGCGACCCAAAGAGAATCATACTGTACATGCAAGGACGGGAGAGGCAGGAAAGTACACAACCTTCTCGGCAAATTGGGCGAGATGCGTTCCACGGCATGCACTAGAATGTCACCCTTCAGGTTTTTATTATCTGTTACATTCAGCAATTCTCTAGTGTCTTTTTTTTCGAGAAAATGCAAAGGGCTTTTGCATTTCATTGCATTGAAAAGGTGGAGTTTTGATACAATCCTCCTAGGAGGTTAGTTACAAGTTACAGCTTACAGCCTTGGTCAGCGATACTAGTGCACGTCCTAGGTGGGCGGCAGAATGACGCGTAGGCCGTGGGCGCCCGCTCTTGCCCACTGCTTGGCTTCCTCTTTGATCTTCGAGACCAGGACCTGAACCAGGGGCTGGGCGCCCTCAAAGATGCATTCGTTGCGCTGTTTCCAGATCATCCATGGTGTCAACAGAGCAATGGAGGCTAGGCCCTTACGCATCAGTGTTGGCGTGTTTTGCCTTGCCTGCAGCCACCAGTCCATCAATGAATCTTCGTGGCTTGGCCCTGCAGTGGTCATCCGTAGCCAGGACAGGATTTCGTGCCAAGTCTGCCTGGCGAAGGGGCACTCCAAGAGGAGGTGGCGCATCGTCTCGGGAGCCTGGTCACAGAGTGGGCATCTTGGCTGATGCTGGAGACCGCGTCGAGCCAAGCGGTCGGCCGTCCAGCACCGGTCTTGGCTGGCCAACCAGTGAAAAAACTTCACTCTTGGCGGCGCCCAGTTCTTCCATATGAGCTTCCACGAGAAGCAAGTCATGGATCCCTGGAAGGTGGCAAGATAGCATGAGCTAGCAGAGTATATACCGGAGGCTGTCCATCTCCAAACTAGCTGATCAGGGGTGTCCGAGAGCGTGATATGCTCGATCGCCAGCCAGACTTGAAGGTACTGGCCAATCTCGTGTATGCCCAAGGTCCCATGAATGTCCCTGGCCCAGCTATGGCCTTGCAGTCCTTCAGCGACGGTCCGGATTTTGCGCCGGTGCTTGGGTATGCGCTTGTAAAGTGACGGGGCGATCTCGCAAATGGATTGCCCATTTATCCAGCGGTCTTCCCAGAAATATGCCGTTGTTCCGTTTCCGAGGGTCATCGTGGTGGACGCGAAAAAGAGCACTCGCTCCTCGGCAGAGAATTGTAGGTCCAGGCCATTCCAGGCGCGCTCATGGTCAGTGCGCGAGAACCATAGCCATCGTAGCCGTAGAGCAAGGCCAGCGCGCTCCAGGTCCTGGACACCCAGGCCTCCGTACGATATGGGGCGGCAAACGCGGCGCCAGTTGACATGGCAGTGGCCTCCATTGGCGGCAGCGCGGCCGGCCCACAAGAAGCCGCGCTCAATCTTCTCAATTTGACGAAGCGTCTTCTTAGGCGGCGCATAGGCGAGTAGTTGATGCACGGGGATGGCGCTCAGCACAGACTTCACCAGCGCAAGCCTCCCAGGCTTGTTCATCAGGTTGGCCTTCCAAGAGGGGAGCCGGCCGGCAATCCCATCAACTAGGGGCTGCAGTTGGGCAGCAGTTGGTCGGCCTACCGTGAGGGGGATCCCGAGGTAGGTGATCGGCAAGTTGACGATGGGGCAGCCTAGGTGCGCAAGTGCTGCTGTCGCCTCGTCCGTGTCACAGTGCAGCAGCGAGGCAGAGCTCTTGGCATAGTTCACCCTTAGGCCGGAAGCGCGGCCGAAGAGCGTCAGGACCTCCCGCACGGCAATGATGTCGCTGGGCAAGCAGTGGCAGAATAGCACCACATCGTCCGCGTACAGCGACATAGTGGGAATGGAGCGCCTCGGGTGTAGCCGTGCCATGACTCCCATGTCAATAGCGCGCTTGATGAGCCTGCCCAAGATGTCAACGGCGAGCACAAATAGCTGTGGTGACACAGGGTCACCCTGCCGGAGCCCCTTGCGGTGCCAGATAGGAGGCCCTGGCTCACCGTTCATCAGTATGCGTGTGCTTGCCGAAGATAGGAGG